AAACACCGGGGAGATCTGTTCTTTCGCTGATGTCTCGTGGAAAACTGAATTATTGGATTGGAATTTAATGGTGTTGCTGATTTGACGAGAGATTGGCTAGGATTTTGTCATTTAATTTTCCATCCGGAAGAATCCATTTGCTTGTTTTCTTTTCTTTTGGTGTATTACAAGATTTACTTAAGGCTTAAAACTAGTGGTTATTAATATAAAATATAACTGCTAAGAGCTTATCGTCTGGGTGTAGTAGTGTTTAGTGTTATTTTAAGAACACCTGCACGAATCTTTCGAATGACTCAGTTGTCCAACTAGTAAAGTAAAGCATAATTTCTATTTGCTTCGCTATATGGACGGACGTTCGAAATGATGATAATCTCAGTGTTTTAATCTTTCCGACATCAAGTGCGAATACGTATACGCTTTCTCGATTATTTTGTATTTTTCCCGAGAGCCTCAGCCCCTTCGATTCAATCGTTTATCGATCTTTGATCCACTTTCGGGCGCACTTTACTGGCAAGACTCGTAAGAAAAAAAAGCAATAAATTACTTTTATTCTTATAAAGGGAAAATGTCGTACTTATGTTTGAATATTTACTTTATTTTTTCAGAAAAGCGATTTGGATGTTATTAACTCACAAGTTTATTTAAGAAAACCTGTAACAATGAAAAACCGTTTTAAATTGATTACGTTTGAAATGTGGGTTGAATGACCTTTCAGTTTTAAACTTTTTTTTTTTTTTTTTTTCCTTTTACAATCTAAGTTTATAATAATGGAATAATAATGCTTAATTATGACGTGCGAAATAAAACATGTAATTTTGTTTTTATAAAACTTTAATTAACAGCAAGATGATTGTATAATATTAACGTTATTTAATTTTGCAAATTGACTTTACAATAATATATGATCACAAAATTTCTTAGTATTTTATATATCTTACTTACGTATATCCATCACTAAGATAAATATTGTATAATTTTCCATAAGCGATGCGTGACATTAATCATTTATTCAAGTTTTATTTGTTTTATTTTTATATCAGATAGGAAGAAAGTTTCTTGATATAGCGAATTTTCAAACTCGAATAATAAATAGTTTATTGATAGAGTATTTTTTCAAAAATAAAATTCCTCGAAAGACAAAATAGAATTTTATTTGTTATGATTTATTTGCTTTGATATATCGCCAGAAGTTATGGAATTATATGTGTTATAATTATAACACAAATAAAATAAAATACCGACGAATTGTTTCCATAAATATTATTTTACTATATAGATTATTACAGAATATTCATAAGAAATATATATATATATATATTTATTTAGACGTTTCATAACTAACATTTTTATCGTGCATTTAAAATATTTCAACAAGTCATTAATTAACGATAATTAACTAAGAGAAAATCATTTGTTTATACTATAATAAGGTAACCACAGATTAGAATTATAGTAGATAACAATTAGTATTGGTTTGTTCGTGACTTCCTTTTCTGCTTTAAACAATATTATTTAAACACTAATTTAAATCGTGAATAAAAAAATTGCATATAAATACTTTCCTTTCACATAAATACTGAAATACTCGATCTTTACATATATACATATATGTACGCGCGCGCGCGCTTGTGTAATTACAAATAATATCTGAAATATAGAAAAAAATTTATAAAACGATCGTCGATCGTTGGTTTAATTATTATTAAAAATAAGCAGAGAATCGTTTATATTTCTAGTATCTGATTTATAGTATCAGTTTCTATATATTGTTTATATAAAAAAATAGTTACTGTTTGTGGGGATACTATGAGTTTTCACAATTTTTGCATTTTATTCAATTCGTCTGTCAACGAATGAGTGGTAAAGTAGCATAAATTTAGTCAAATTGAAAAGTGTCGAATATAATTAAAAGATATATGATTTGATGAATATGGTTTAAACATTATTTATTCGATAATATTTGTTTATAAAAATTTTGTATAAATATTACAATTTATATAAGGATTTTTATAAATCTGACAGTAATAAGATTTGAATTAATTTTGCGTTTCTATAGTAAATTTTACATACATTTCCATAAATAATTAATGCTCTTAATAGTTACACTTGTATTTTTTTTTTTTTTTTTTAATTTAGAGAATAATTTATATTTTACTAAAAACTAGAAAATTGTGTAACAGTGTAACATAAAGCGGTAATTAAAAGTTTAAGGTTTTTTAAGTAGCATGACTTTTACCATCGATTTACCTTGAAAGTTGCATTTCTTTTCAGTTGGATTTCTTATGAAATCTTTAGTAAAATTGTGTTTAATTTATAATATGATTATTTCTTAAAGGTGCTTAAATATTCCTGTGGTTAATATATTAAACTATTCAGTCCGTGTTTTTTGTAAAATTTTGCATAAATTTAAATAAGAAGTCTATTATGTGCATACTGTATGCTTAATAGTACACCGAATAATAATAATAATATTATTATTTAAGAATAATGATAAATTAATTGGAAAGCATGTTCATTCGAAATATTATTGTTGTCCATTTCATTGGTATTAATATACTGCCTATACAATTTTTTTTAAGAATTTTAAGAGCAGCAAGAGACAAAACATTAAAGAATTATCAATTTAACGTAAATTCCTATAAACTTCGATAAATTAGAGTTTAAATTTGTAATAAAAAAAAAAATTTTTTTTACACGCACTATTTCTCAAATTTATTGAAAATCTTTTTTGTTTTTTTGTTTTTTTTTTGTTTTTTGTCATAGTGTTTTTTATTATTAAGTTTTTTCATTTCCAAATATTTGTAAATTATAAATTGAAGTTATTGGTAACATTCTATACATTATTCCGTGTCAAGTAGTTACTTTATAAAATATGTATTAAAACTAACAAGTTTCATTTTTTTATTTCCATATATAGAGACGCAATATTAATTCAACATATAGTATTTCAGTTTTGCTAGTTGTTATGTTCATAAAAAAAAAAAAAGTTAAAGTGGAATAAACGATTTTCATCGCATGTAAATTATGATACAAACAACTTGTATGATTAATTAAAACATACCTTGATAATCCATTACTTATTTATTTTATATTCACATTATTTACAACATTGTTTTAAGAAGTTAATTTATATTTGTTCCAACATTTTACATTGGTTAATAATGGAACAGAAAAATATATTAAAAGATCCTCTCTAAAAAATGTATAACAATATCAATGAAATAAATTTTTTTTGATCAAACGATATAATATTTTACACGGGGTTGATGTTTTTATTTATAATTTATCGAAATTAAAATGTAAATGTTCTTTCGAATCAAATTCCACAATATCGTCTCGTAGATTAACGATTTACGAAGATTGCTGATTGTATTTTAGATTTGAGCAGAATGTTATTATCCTATAAAATGAGATTATTTGCAGTAAAATCTATTTTCTTTTAGAACGTCTTTTTCTAAGTATATTGCAAAGGTATATTTTGAAAAGAATTCACATAATGTATATATAATGTAAATATAATGTAAATATTGCAATTTTAATGGTCCTGCACACGATTTAATACTTATTAATTACAACGAGAAGTATAGTAATTTTCTACTACTTTGACGTAATTATCGACTAAGCAATTAAAAGTTTCCAAACAAAATAAAATTTCCGAATTGGCTTTTAATTCTTTATCGAGCAGATTATATTTTGTTAAAATTAACTATTACATCGTGATATTAGTTTTTAATGTTATTATTGATATTGTTATTAAATCTTATTTATTAATAGCATAAATTATAAAATATGTAATTAAATTTATAATAATCCTTATGTAATTTCGCACGAAATTATTTCCTTGGAGTTATAGTTCTATGCAGCATTAATAGAAGCACTATTAATAGAAGATCTCGTACTTAATGCTTTGCAACGTTGATAGTGAGTCAGGATGGGTTGAAAAACTTCCTGGCTTGCGTTACGATAATATTGGCAAACACTAGGTTCACGTGAAAGGCGCAACTAATAATTTAAACGTTAATTCTTTGTGACTCAGAGATTATCGAAGCCACACTTAGTATAGAGTGGCAGAAATACAATTTTTCTCGATGCAATTAAAAAGATCTCGTTCCAAATTAATTACAATCACAAGTTCATAAGTATGGAAAATTAAACGAAAGATGAAAATTAAATCAAACCGAATACAATGGAATATTCTACCAGTACCCATGAATCAACGATAGTTTGCTTTCGATTATCTGATCCTTTGATCCTTTTATCCCCTCTCTCTAGTTTTTTTATCCGAAAATTTCTCTTAAAATTATTAATAATTAATCTTGGGGCTCGTGTATTATGGGCATTTAATGTTTATTAAATGTATTACGGATACTTTAAATTGGTATATCATAATTTTCTTCGAGGAGACTAAAGAAAATCAAACAGTGTCTTTTTAATTTTGTCGCATTTTTATAAAGTCACCATCATAATTAATTATTTTTTTTATCACTTTTCAACTTCGTTTACAGGCGGCACAGATCATATAATATTTACTGGAATGTATTTTTAATTTTAAAATTCACGATATTGTTTCAAAATATATCGATGCATTGTGAGCTGCACTGCAATCAATTTTCATTTTTCGAATTTCTCGCAGACAATTCATAGTTTTATTACACTTTGGCCTCTTCGATCGTCGATTTTTACGAACCTTTTCATTTACAGAATTTTTCAGTTTTATTAAACAAGACTTCAATAAGCTTTATAAATACAGCCATTGTGTACGAAATACCTTTTAATTATTTTTCCCATTACATTATACATTATTAATTTAAATACATTTTAATTTAAATACATTTGGAAGATTTATTTGATAATTTATTGTCGATATAACTTAGACTTTCATTGTTGTTCGGTGATATTTACATTAAGTTTTACTCAAAATTTTCAATCCAAGTCTGATGCTCTAAATTTTTGTATTACCTACAACACCAAATTGCCAATGAAAATTATACATAAAAAACATGAATTATATTCGTAACATCCTCAAAGACAACAAGTAGATTGTAAAATCTAAGAAACAGGAGCCTTTGCACTTACAACGACGAATAAATAATCCATATTATTCAAAGTCTCTTCACTTTTCCATTCCAGTCGCAAGTACATCGAAAAGCTCCGCTCATCGTCTCCTACCCATCGAGCGAGAAGCTCCTTTCAGCATACGGAGGAAGGACCGGAGGAAAAGTACTTGCCAATCCCTTGTGAGTATAAGGGAGGTGAAAAACCGGCGGCTCGTTGAGTCCAGCGGAAAAGAAAAGCCAGCAAGATTACCGGCCGCGACGGGGCTTGCGGCAAGTATTGCGGGACTGCTCCATCATCCGCCAAGATTTCCTTTACCAACTTCCGCCAGTCATTCACCAGCAATGTTAACTACTTGAAACGAAGGTGAGATTTATTAGTGCGCGATGGTAAGAGAGTGGACTTTGGTATCATTTTGTAATACGATTTTTCCTCTTCTTCCTCGGTAAGCACTGACAAAAAGCTTTACAAATAATGCGTTGATATTTTTATAATTAAATTACTAGTATCGTTTATCGTTTGGCACAGCCAATATTGTTTTCATTACCATTATGAAAATTTATCAATTTATCGCACCATGTCACAACATATCATGTAAAACAAAAGAAAAAAAAGAACAAACAAAAATTATGTTAATCGAGTCCCTTAGTAGAGATTTACGTATCAATTATGATTTAATATGCATTGTTCAAGTTTAAAAATTGAAGTAAATTAAAGCAAAATACTTTAGACTAAAAAGTCTCAACGGTCATTACGATAGAACGTCAATCATGTCTAATCAAATAATGTAAATAAGTACTAAAGACGTGTATAAGATTATTATTGTTATAGTTTTGTTAACATGACCGACAAGAAAATTCAAACAGTTTTTAACGAATCAATTTAAATATCTTATCGAGGATATAAAATAACTCAATAATTAATAAAAAAAACTCATAGAAATACAAGTGCTCTTTCTACTAATTAAACAAATATCTTTTTATATAAAATTTTTATATAAAATTCTCCGACTTGTCAATAACTTACTTTCTACATACATTTTTGTTTTTATTCTCGAATCTAAATTTTTAATATATCTTTATTATTTTTTGTTTTTGTTTCTCTTGAAAATTGGACGAGGAACTCCCCAATTTGCTCTTCTTGGAGCTAATTGAACATAAAATACTTTTAAAATAGTCGTAGGTTGCAGCATTATCAAACTAATATATGTTGAAAATGTTAGTAGACAAATTAGTAGAAAAATATCTATACCAAAGATATGTAAACATGGTTGTTTGATTTCTTAGTGAAAGAATTTCTTAATTGGGTTTCTTATTTTTTTCGCTAAAAATCACAATTTATAATTATCGCTTTAACTAAGAGTGTAAAAGAAATTCTGATAGGAAAATCTAAATTAAATTCCAAGAAATTCTTTGAATTACCAATATTATTAAAGAAATAGAATTTTAAGAAATTCTAGAAATTAATTATTATAATAATCTTTTTAATTTTTGTAAATTCGTAAACTTTTTCTCTAGTCAAATTGGGATATTTTATTATAATTTATTTTCTTCGTTACAATTTGACAATTTTAATCTTAGTCTTCGTCTAGCTAATATGCTTTTACTTTTCAATCTAAAATTGACAGCCGTTCTTTTGTTTTCTAATTGAGCTTCATGCTTCAGCCATTTTAATCGAGACAATTTGATTATTCTAACAATATTACAATTTAGTTCAATTTTACGGTATTAAAATTTTATAATCAGTAGTAGGTGATAGCTACGTTTTCTCGGAAAATCCATAATACGAAATTAATAATAAATTTCTTTTTTACTTATGCTATTATCCGTAATACTGAATATTTTTATGTCTTAAATATAATTTCATTAATATTATTTTATTTCATTATAATAAATAATTACCTTCGATTGCTTGTACCTACACACAGCATAAATACACGCGTCGGCGCTTTCGTGTTTGCGTATGTATTAAAAAGTTTAAATTCGATTATATAAATATTATAAAACATTCATTTCATAGGGTATTAATAATTTTTGTGTAAGTAATTTTTTTTTGTCCTTAAGTCTTTTATTTGATAAAATACTAATTGTATGTCATAATATATTCTAACATCAATAAAACTATCAGTTAAAGCTTTGTCATTGTTACTCTATGTGTTGGTATAGCGATGTCGTAGATTAAAATGAATTATTGAGAACAACACTTCGAAAAGTAAAAAAAAAATTATTAACCAAATATTGTAAAAATATTGCTAGCATTTTGAATGTTAATGCGGACATTTGAATCCCATTGATTTAGGAAATTCAGTTTTAAAGACATTTAAATATGGAAAAATTAAAAGTGAATTATGGAAATGCTAAGTAAAATCATTTATATATTTTTATATATTCAGAATATTATAAATTAAATGTACATACGTTTTATGAAGAATACAAAATTCAAAGAAACAAAAGTATTATGGTTATTTGATTAAATATTATGCCTTGAGTCTGTTTTGTTTATAAAATTAAAATATTGCATTAAGTTCCATATAACTTATAACTTTAAAATAATTCTTATGATTCTTTTTTTTTATAAATCATCTAAAGCTTAATATTATCGAAATAATTTTATGAACGAATCTAAATAATTATCGTTTAAATCCAATCAACTTACATTCTCTTAAATTAAATTATCTTTTCGAAATGATGTTCAAATATATTCTGTTTGCATAATGAAAAAATAAATTAACGTTTTAAACTAGCTGAGATAGTTTTAAAATTACCATCGAGATGCATTTAAATAGCAAAAAAAAAAACATTAATTTTTTTTTTAATGAATTTTATATTATATATAATTGTATAAATTAAATATATATATATATATATATATATATATATATATATATATATATATGTTAACCATGTGTAATTAATAATAATATTTTTTTCCTATGCATATACATATTGTTATTAATAATATAAAAAAAAAAAATGTTTTTATTGAAATTATATATTTTATATTTTTATATGTATTAAAATTACTTTCTTTCTGGACTATCGGAATTTAAAATTTTTACATTAATATACGATTATAAAATATCAAATACTTTTATTTGTGATAAGTATCATATCTAAATTTTGATGAATGTAAATGTTGTATTTAAAAAATTTTGTCAAGATCTAATTGTAAGATCATATTGTAGGAGAATATGAAAATTTTTACATCAAATGTTCATTACGTTTAGCTTGTCATAATTCTTGCTTATTCATCATAAATAATTATAGACTTTTTAATGAATATTAGTACAAATATTCTACAATAGTCAATTAATATGTAATTAAATATGTAATTACAACACAGTATGTAATTACTGTCAAGGAAGTTTCAAATAATCTTTAAGCTTATAATTGTTGTATATTAAATATTTTCGAATACATGACATACGCATATAATACATAATGCTGAATTAAAACATGAAATTTGAAATTAAAAAAATTGCAAAATTGTATACTTAATGTTCATATTTTATAATGTGCATGTAAATGAAAATACACTTTGATTATTCTTAATGTCGCTTACACAGAACAAAGTACAAAGCATTCAAATGGCACCTAAGAGATAAAACTTCCTAGTTTTAAAAGTGAAGATTATGATAAATAAAAGATATTTTATATGCAAAGTGAAGAAAAAAAAAACAACATAAAAGATACTATTGATATTAGTTTTAGGAAATTCTATTTTTTCATATAATGCAATAATTGCAAAAACGAGTTTATGGGGATGAAAAATACTCTACGGGGTATCAAGATTGTTCATTCCTCTATTATATTTTTTATATATAGGGGATACGTAGACTTATATTGGTGATTGTAGAAAATTGGATTTTTAGTATTTCCATGTATATTTTGATATTTGTTAGCTGATAATCCGCGAGAGCCAATTGTTATTTGCAATATCGAAGAATATTTTGTGATATTGATCGAATAGCTTAGATTCTTTTTCAAAATTTTGAAGTACTTTCGGCCGGTTAATTTTGTTAATATTTACATTACAATTATTTTAATAATAAAAGATCGATATTCAAATTTTATCGAAAGTATTGTATACAGTACTTTGAAGGTTAAATTAAATTTTACTGAATGTTTATTAATAAGGTAAGAAGCAATTGTCGAAATTATCTTAATTTAACATAACTTTTCGTACCTCGTAATGAATTTTAAATAAATTATAAAATTTTTAAATTAATGATAATGTCAATGTATATTTATATTTAATGCCTTAGTACTTTGAATATCAATACATAAAGTGAAAAATCAGTATAATTATTTGTTTACATAAGTAATTGTAAAAGTTGTCATTTATGTTGAATTTAAGCGAAATGTCAAAAGCCCCTGCTTATATTATCATTAATGATAATTTCAATTAGAGAAAATTTCAATTATCCGCGTACAAATTGAAGTATATCGCGAGTACGTTATTTACGATAAATTAGTATTTTATACAACTTGAAACGAATGACATTTTTCATTTCGTCGGGAAAATTGCAAGAAGCTGAACGGGACTGTCGAAGCGAGTAAAATGAAGGGTCTGACCTGCGACAAAACTGGGAGCCAAAAAATTACATAGAAACTTAATGATCCTAAGATGATAGTGGCAGTAAGTTTTTTCACACGTCCTCGGTAACACTTATCACGTCACTAGCACAACTCCTGCTCCCTGCTTAAGTCGCATGAGCTCAATTGCCGTCTGCGTATGTGAATATTCACCCCGTCTACTGCTAGTATGTCTTTGTGCGAGCATTGTGCATTAACCCCGGCAATACCTATGTCATCGATCCAGCTATTATTGGAGAGAGTTGAGACCAAATGGTCCTTGGCGGTTTCCTACAGTGTCACTTTTCATGTGTGCATTGCGCGTGATTGTGTGGAAAAGTACAATGGCTCTGATGAATAAAATAGATTAATAACTCGAAACTTTATTATGGCTTGACTCACGAGTAATTAGATAGACTCGATTATAGTAGTAATTTTTGTCTTTAATTAAAAAATTCAATGCATAATAACAATCACGCAGGATGTTTGACCTATTTGGTTGAATTATGACGTTGATACGTTGGTTCACATCGGAATATTATATAATTCCATGTTAATTTGAAAAGTCTATTTGGTTGATAATTCTGGCATAACTTGTGCAACCCATTTAATGAATCATATGATTCGAATATTATATTTTATTCGTTATCTATATTTCGCAGAAATTTAAGCACATTGTTGTTGTTTTAGTTTCAATACGTCAGGTCCATAAGCATTATTAATTACTATCAATTATAAATGGCAACTTGAATTTACCATTGATTATTTAATTCACCAAATGTTAAGGAAACAACTAATATGCGTTTATATATATATATATATATATATATATATATATATATATATATATATATTATAGTTAAATTTTCAATATTAAATTTACCGAACGTCAATTATTACGCGGATATATAGTCGCGGCTCAACGTTTCGTTTGAAGTGAAATACGCCAGGAATCATTAAACTCTTAATCATCAGATTTAAATAAACAAGAAACTTGCATGCTTGCAAAAACTTGCATCACAATATTGAAAGAAGATGTCCATAAGTATAATTATAATAGAAGAACTTGCAAGGGCAGTGTCGCACCAATCAATTAATAATATCTTATCATTTTCATAAAGCATCTCTATGTGTAGAAAATAATTTATTTTGATTGTTTTCATTTTGATTTTATTGGTGACTTAGGTTACGTTCGTTTAAATTACTCTTTATAACATTCTCGTCAATTATTGCGTAAATTTTTATTTACTATAAATACTGATAATTCGGCAAATTTTAAATTATATATTTGAACGTCCGGAATTGTTGGGTAGAGAGCCTGGTTCATATAAATATGTTCACTATTTATTTTTCTTTTATACATAATTGACCGAGGCAATCTAATATATATATATATATATATATATGTATATATATATATATTTTCACCCCCCCCCCCAATTTGACATACTTTGTAGCAAATATCTTATATTATTATTTTGAAAAATGAATTGTTTAACTTAATAAATTGATAATTTATTAATGCTGCGAATTAAACGTGGATCAATTTATTATATTTTTTATCATATATTTAATCAAAATTTGACAGTTTTGCATTTGATATGACGCAGATGCACACATCAATACGTTTCAAAATTTATTATTATAAACACGCTTTTTATTATTCATTATTCCTAATACAATATCGCCTAATTAAACTTCGTTATAATATTTGCAAATGTCGATTACTTATAGAACAATATGATTTATAATTGCAATAAAGATAATAATAATATGATCATTCGAAATTCGGAAAATATCGGCTGATCGTTCGTTTATTGCGTAAAATCATTATCGACCTGTCTATTTATCGACTTTTCTTTTTGTTCATTTTTCGCCTATTTAACCTTAATCATTATTACGAATTTGTTATGTTATTCCGATACCGTATTCAGTCATTCGGAGTTCATTATAATTCATTTATTTTTACCGACATATCGCGAAAAAGAAGAACAATAAAATTGAATTTTGTGCCCGGTCGTTAATACAAATTACGGGATCGGCCTGCTGTCCGGCTTTTCCACTGATTGATAAATCAAGCGCACGAAGCGCGCTCCTTACGTAAAGTGCACGGCTTTAACGAGGGCGAGGCATCCGTTACATTATCTCTCGCTCGCGACGCAACAAATTCGAATGCCCTCCCTCTGTGAGCGAGTGCACGTGGTGCGACACTGACCCCATCGCGGTTCTTCAGACCTGGGCTCCGAGAACGGCCTTTTAAAAGCAAAGAAAAGCCTGAGCTTGTCTTCCAGGTTCTCATCGGGGGACCTAAGCTCGGAGGTGGACGATGAGTCGTCCTCGAACACGGGGCTGGCCTCCGTGGGCAGGCAGGACTCGGCCCAAACTTACCAGGGAGTGCCTGAGCGTCCGCTCCAGTCGCAGCCACAGCCGATGGCGGCACCGAGTCATCCGGTGCCTGGTGCCCCACCACCGGGCAGCGACCTCAGCTTGATCCTGCGCCCGGGCTCCAAGACGACCAGCGCTCCGTCCTCGCCAGCCAAGACACGCGAGAGTCTCCTCCAGAGGGTGCAGAGTCTCACCGGAGCCGCGCGTGATCAGGCAAGTCCGAGCGTGCCTTTCATCCCCTCCCATTCCAATTATTAATCCTGATCATTGAGGCGTCTTGGGCTCTTGCGTCCGCGATGTTGCTGTGATTCGCGGCATTATCCTCGCGAGGATACGACAGCGTGCGAGTTTGTCGCAAAGCCGTCTTCCTCGTTCTTGAGATACTCCGAGCTTTCCAGTTAAACAACCGAATGACAATTTCGGCGAGAATATGCGTTGTCGTTTGATGGCCGAAACTACTATTATTGGGTTGGAATTTTAATATCCCAGCTATAAACTACCAAGATCAAACTTTCATTTTCTACTTACCGTCGTTACTTTGTTTATTCGGCACAAAAGTTACTGCTGAACTTTGATCGCGTAAAGCTTTTTAGGTGAGGTTAAACAATTTTGATGCTTTTTAGCTTGAGAAGAGATACGAAAATGTCACTTACACCTCTTCCAAGTATTTTGAGCATTTTTGCTCTAAGAGCAAAGTTATTTGGATAAGCCACCCCTCGAAATCTCGAAAGGATAATAAAAACTGCATATTAAAACGACGTATTGCTTACATTAGCTTCCATTCGTTTAATTTTATTGTTTCTCAACTAACGAAATACAAAATCGTAAATGGTTAAATGGTTAAATAAAATAGATATCAAAAGCCATTGATTTTATAGTGAAAGATTAATTCTGTATATTTATGCACGAGCGTGCGTAAGTTAAGAAACTTATCATCTAGTGGAGAATAAATCCGAAATTCTTAAAAAAAAAAAAAAAAAAAAAAAAAAAAAAAAAAAAAAAAAATCCTTCAATCTTCTTTAAAAAAATTCCTTCAATTTTTCGAAATATCGTTCGTGCAAATAATTATTATATTTTGAAAATCAATATTTCTTAAATATCCAATTCGTGAAATTTATTCATGCACGCACGTGTCGACGGATATTATCATAACAATAACTCTTACTTTTATTATATTCAACTTAAGAATGATTTAACTTTCGATTAAGTTCATATTTTATGCGCATATTAATTCTGGGACGTTTGAAAGTTATTACTGAATTGGAATTATGAATTATGATATTATCATTTTTAAGAAATGTCAAATAATTTAAAGGATATAGGTAATATTTAAAGGGAAATTATTATAAAACAATAGTTTTATATCATCAATCATTGAACGAATACGAAAAATTACACTGTCAATGATAGTAACACTTCACTAATATAAAGTGATTATTTAATTAAATAATTCGATAAAGATTTTATTTGTTAGCTTTCCAGTAATATTAGATGGCGAGTCTTTCATTTCGTATTACTTAAATTGCTAATCTTCATAAATATAAAATATTGAATACAAAAATAAAACAATATATTAACATTTCAAAAAACATTTTTAAACAAAATATTTTAAGGTATTATTGCATCTTACGTTAGGTAGGATAAGCATAGAGTAATATATACAAATGATCTTTTTTAATAATTAATTTTTATTTTATTCATCTTCCTTTGTACGTATATCTAATATATGATATGAATTATTTTTATAGTTAATAATACCAGTGTGTGAGTTAGCGTCCAAGAAGAAAATCTTTGCTGTTGTTAATAAGTAAGAAAATATTCCACCGAATGGACGAATAAAATAAATCTTCATAAATTATTATTTTAAATATTATTTGATTTAAATTAAATTCAAATCAAATAATAAATGAAATTTGAAAAGTTTTATATGTTCTCATTCTGTAGCTATTTAATTAATTCTTTCAGAATCGTAAATGTTTTTTATTTTTATTTTTATTTTTTTTTATGGAATAACCGATCTACATTTTTATTATAGATATTACTGTATGTTCTAATTAAAATTTATCTCTTTAATAACTTTCTCGAATTGAATTATGATTTTATAAAATTTTTATTTACGATAGAACACGATACAATGATCAAATTTATGCAAAACTTTTATATGATGTATGTAAATTATAGAACTAACATATATGGAAAAAGTCTTAATCGCATCTAAAGAGATTATATTTGCAATTAATTAACTATTCAATTTAAATGAATGATTATTAAATCGAAAGATAAATAATTTATTTTGCTGTAAGAAATGAACGTTGATATCAAGAGAGGAGATTTATCGCAGTAATACGTATTTGTAGATAAATCATCGACATTTTGAACTTTTACGGACACATCTTAAATTGTTTAAAATTGTTTAAAATTTTTGTTTCATCAATTTTCATTTATATTACCATATGAAGAATAATCTTTATTCATTGATTGCTAGAAGTATATCCAATGAAATAAATAGTGCTCGTTATGAAAAAAATTAACATTAATTATGAAATTTATCGAATTTTTTAAAGCGGTTAATTGTCAATTTATATTTTTATTAAATTCTTATCTTACATAGCAAGATTATAAATATACGTATATATATATATATATATATATATATATATATATATATATGGTATATATATTTATTTGTTTACTTATATAGGAGAAAGGTAAATTTGAACTTTTCAGAATTTTAAAATGATATATTTTAACAAACATTTTTATTAATACTAGCTTCACGTAAGTAATATGTCGCAAGCGGAATAAATACGAAAAAGAAATAGAAAACACGATTAATAATGATTTTGGAGAGTTTTTGGAGATTTTTCGAGTTTAGTTATTAGGGATGCACTAATCATTATATATTATAAAAGTATTTGCATAATTATCTATCGAACACGCATCGCCCAGTGATTTGGCAAATGAGTGGCAGTGGTAAGCAAAGTTTGCAGTCGGTAATACGTAGCGAGAAATGAGCTTCTCATTTTATTCATTAGGGGCGGTACTGTCGATCCTAAGTTTCGGAATGACAGTCAGGACGTAAGTTGTGTTATGTGTCTGCAACGAGACAACAATTCGCATTATTTTGAAAGAATTAACATTGACATGTTAATTTAGATCGCTACGTTGAGATTGAAATATAATTAAGTAGGCGAAGAGGATTTGTATGTTTTTTTCTTCAGCTTCTTTCATTCAAAGTGTTAAACTAGTGTAAATAGTTATACAATAGCTGATACTTGAGAATGTTTATGGAGAAAGTGATCTTACGATTATGTGAACGAAAAAATGAAGTTTCAAACAAAACGACGGCTATTATAAAAGACTTTCAATCATTTAATAATCGATCTCTTAGGTCGATTATACGATCGATGATTTTATTCGTCTCGATTACGTGCAGCAGGTCTATATTTTATAATCTAAAGCAATTTTTATATGAAAATTTTTGAATTAACTCTATGCATCGATTGCATTAAAAAGCAAAATATTGCCCTTGCAAATGCTAATAAAGTGAACCTGACTAATGAAGGAAAACTTTTTTTTTTTAACTATAGCTTATAAAATTTAGTATATACACAAAAATTTAAATATAATTTATGATAAATAGATAATTCATTTAGTTATTTTAAAAACGTGCTTCTTGCATAATTATGAATGAACACACGTCATTTTATTTATTTGTATTTTCATCATATTTATTAATAGGTTTTTCATTTATTTGTTTGTTTAAAAAATATTTATGCATATTTAGGAAAACTGATATATAAAAAATTTAGTCAAAGAATAATTTTACATGAAAATAATTCAATTTTTATAAAACTGCGTCGTTGCTGTCCAATAACAATATTATTGTAATAGATAAAGAAAAAAAAAAAAAAATTAAAAATGAATGCAATATTATTGGTTTGCTTATATTAAAACGAAAATGATTGAGTAATTTGACTTTCATATCTATTTAAAATTAATATATAATAATTTTTCAAATGACTATTCATTAAAAAGAGAAGATATGTTGTAATGTCAGTCATAGATGAACATTAATTATATTTAAAACGTACGTCGTGAATATTTCTAAATCGTAATAACAAGATATTTATTTTTTTTTTTTTAAATAACTGTCTACGAAGAGTCTCTAATAATTGATAATCTTTAAGGGAAAATCACACCGTTGTACTACGCATATTTTTAATTTCTTTCTTAAATTGTTTTAAAATTAATTTGTATTCATAAATATTTATCAAGCTTCATGCGAACGTTACATCTTATGTAAGCTTTAATGTCATATTCCTGATTATTATACAACATGCTTTAATAAAACTCCAGTTTAAGTTACATTGTTTATGCTTGTTCAATCCAATGAAATTAACTGTCGTCCATCTGGAAATAAGTAATGTGCATTGTTTTAAGACTGATTGATATTAAGATTAGTGAAAGAGCTAGCGTCATCTACATATTTTGTTTAATGTCAATGCAACAAAAAATATACTTTGTTTCCACATTATTATTAATATTTTCATGATTTTTACTATACGCCTATTTAGGAAATTCTCTTATCTTGGGTATCAAGTATGAGAGATAAGCAAGGTCAATATTATTTAATAATACTATATCTATATATTTATGTTTTTTTTTTTTATATTTTAAATATAAATTTAAGCTCTTACATCTTAAGCTCTTGAATAATTATTTGAAATAAAGTAAAATCCTAAATCTAATGAGAAAACTGAAATATATATATATATATATATATTGTTATGAATGATAAAGATAGGTTTATTAGTTTTTTTTATTATTATTTTTATAGTTTTATATAAATTATTGTTTACCATTTTTATATTAAATGAATGGATTTAAATTGATTTTATAACAAATAGTTTCCAGTCATGCTGATTTTAATTATTGGATATAAAATTTTTTATTTTTAATGGCCAACCAAATTTTCCGCCTACTATTTAAAAAAATCGTTCTTCATTAATACATGCAATAAAATTAAATAAATGTAGCTAATAAAGCTTTATTGTCTAATATTATCGTACCATTATATAAAATACTAAAATATATTAATAATCATTTTATGTTTATATGTATTTATTTTATCTTCTTAAATATAAGGAGATTCTCATGAAACTCATCAAAAGCATTTCTAACAATCATCTAAAATTCTTATATGTGAATTCAATGGTAATTAATAATAGTGGTATAATCTATCGCAAAGTAGTTAAAATTACATATTTTTATTCGATATTACGATAATTCCTAGTTTATATCAGGCAATTATTTAAAAATTCAATCTAAATCTACAGTGATGCGTACAAGAAGATTAATAGTGCAAATACCGTATGCAGATTTCCATTGAATGTGAAGATTAATAGGGAGAGGTAAGTACGTTAACATTTGTTAATATATAATAATATATTATTACGAAGGCGATTTTTTCGTTTTATCAGTATCCAACATTTGCTAGAGGAATCTATACAAATTGCATAATATAACTTTCCTGTAAATTTAAGTTGAACGAGTAACATGAAATATTTGATAGTTCAGAAGACTAATTTTGTAAATTAATTTTATTGGAAATACATTTAGAAATTCAAAATTCTTTATTGTATCGGATTTATATTATGCGGCTATTAAGTTGATAGAAAAGTTGTGTTTTCAAAATGTGGGTTGTATTTTTCCTTATTTAAAATCATTCGATATGTCTTTTTTAATTAATTTTTTACATTAATGTCACGAAAAAATGATAAACATTCATAGTTTATTATAATTTTTATAATGAAATAATATTTAATTAATTAAAATAATGGACTGTTGTATATAATTCATTATTTACGTGAATGAAAATGTGGCTAATGTTTAATCTTAAATTGAATCAATGAAAAATAATGCAAATAAAATAGCGGACAGGCGATATGATCAAATCAATGTAATATTTTGAATGTTGAGATATACAAGTATTAAAGGCTGACTTATTTTACTGCAAATTTGAATCTTATCTGATAAGAAATTATATATTCCATAATGTTTAAAATTTATATTATACATATATTTGTATTTTTACTTAATTTCCCATGCAGAGTTTAAATAAAATAAAACGACTGATAAAATAAATGTATAAAATATATTTTATATTATTGATACAAATCTATATGTAATTTCATATAATATATCTGATCTATGTACAACTGAATACGCGATAATGAACTCTTACAACATATATATATATATATATATATATATATACATATGAAAAAATAATAAATTTTGCTTTTCATACAAATAAAACATTGATTGAATTTTGATATAAAAAACTTAGCGTATGTTTAATATATTATTTTACAGAATCTATAATTTATTGAGAAATAAATATTACATGTTTGTTAAATTTTCAAATAATCTTAAATAATTTTCATGTAAAATTAACTTTTTATTTTTTTCAATCAAGAAGTAGAAACAATTATGGAAAAATTAGTATGATAATTCTTTCATTCAGTATAATCTCATAAAGTGATATAATTCATATTAATTCAATTATTTGAGATTTAGTTACACGATTTAATTGTTTCATACTAAAATTTATTAAAAATTGCAACTAAAGTACTGAATTTACTATGGTGCTTAATAAAATTTGAAAGCCAATTAAACAGTTTTATAATTTTTGTAATTTATTGGCACATAAATTTTTAACATTGTTGTAATAGAATTAAATTTAAAATTAAATTATTTAAAATTGATTATTTATACACTCTTATTAATAAACTCTGCATAATGTAATTACTAATATATACTTTATTTTTTTATAAAATGTTAATATTGATGTATGCAATGATAATTCATCGATTAATACAGTTATTTGTAAAATTACATGTTTTATGAGTTAAGATGCATTTAAAATGTATTATAACGCATATTTTCACAAACACACAAAACTATGAAATAAAAATTCTTAAAGCCATTAATTGACTAATCAGTAATATCGGTTCGTGGATGCATGCACGTGCGTGTGTGCATATGTTTCGTATGCAGATAATGTTAAGTAAGACATTAATTAATTTACATTTTGAAGTTGATATCAGATAAAGCTGATCGGATAAAATAAAACAAAACAAAACAAAAAACAGCAAGACAATAATTAATATAAAAAAAAATTTATATTTAAATTATTTAAAATTTTTAATTTAAGACTATTTTTCCCATAGGAACTGTTTCATTAATATTTTGTTTTGTATCACAACGATTACAAGATAAAGTTAAATTTCTTATTTTCAGCACGAATATTCTCAATATATTAATTTTGAGTAAACTAAATTTAATTTAAGTTGAATATGTGTTAATATTTTGTAAACGCGTAATGTATAGTGCCATAGGTTGAAATCGAGTTATTTAATAAAAATAAACTAATTTATTATTTTTTTCTACAGTATTGTTTAATATTTTATTATTTAAAAATGTTCTCATTCCTAATGGCAATCATAATTTTCTGCGTTTACTTCATTGTAGATTTAAATGAATCGCAAATTAAATCGTATTAAAGTTAAAAATAACAATTTCCAATACTGATACTGATTCTTACGTTGCTTGGAAATTCATTTAATTTTCTAATGAATAATAATGAAAGTAAGATCTTGGATGTTACAGGAGTCCGCAGTAATAAGAAAATATGTTGAAGAAACAATGCATCGGGTTAACAATGTCGACAGAATACAGCAAACTAGCGGGAAAATGATACCAATACAACCATTTTTGTACGCCAATGCAAGAGAGGAAAATTCATCAGCATATCTGGAAAATTCATGTAAAACTGAATACAATGAAACGACCCGGCAAACTTTATCGATACTCAGTAATGAAGAACTTCTTCCAGTCCGTATGACTGAAGCAAGTGTTTATTATTCTGCAGCTTTTCGACTTGATGAAAGTAACGTTTGCGCCGAGGTTTGTATTTATTTGATATATGCCCGGAGATGCAATTACAAAGAATAATAGTGAAAGTTTTTGAGTATTGTAGGCGTTAGAGGCTATTCTTTTCGATAGTCTTGAAGGTGAACTAATTCTAGCTGAATACCAGCAAAATAATTTTTTATGCAGTACAACCCAACAAAAATTAACAGATGTTTTATTGAGCAGAAGTGCGAAATCAATGACAGTGTAGGTTTTTTTTTTTTTTTTTTTTTTTTTTTTTTTTTTTTTTTTTTTATAACTTCAAAGATAAATTTTCGTCGTTGGTCGAATATAATTTTCAAGTATCTGAAACTTAGTATGATTTCATTTTAGAGCAAAACACGTTCAAAATTATTTTGTCAAGCTTACGAATGCAATTGTCAAATTAATGCCAAACGAAGATCCAGTACGTACATTATTACTTTTCAAAATAAATTAACAATTATTGTTGTGATAAAATGTAATTTCGGCTAAATAGATAAATCCACGATTTTAGAACGTATATTATGTCCCGCCTCAGTCAAATGGAAATGACAGTAAAAATCCAAAGGGTAAATTACCTGACAAATGGCGCAATTTAACGTATCAATTGCGAATAAGAGGAATATTGCCAAGGAAAAAATTGAAAGATAAGCCTACAAGTTCTAACGATATTCCTAAAACGCATACGCTGAAAGGTAATGAAGAAAGTTGTGTTCCTCATATATTTGCGTCATAAATCTATGTAGGTAGTGCACTCTTTAGGAATACTTTTACAATTCTCATGAATATATACGGATTCACACATCTATACAAGGTGATAAAATTTACTGTGCATTATTAAACAATATATAATTGAAAAATATAATTTAACTTATTTTATGACAAACGGTAATTTTCCAAGCTTGTTAAAATAACAAAATTAATTTATCAACGATAAATTATTATGAAATTGGTTGCGTGCGTATAGTTGAAATTTCAAGCAATTACATAGTAAGATTTTATGTTACTGATATAATAATTATATTTATTGTAATTATATTACTTTTTAAAATTCGCAATAATTTATGAAATTATTTTGCTTTATGACAAATTAAACTAAAAAATTACAATAAATACAATTCCCTTTATGGTTCAAATATTTATTTCCGATTATACAATAAACTATACGTGTTAATGCAATGGATAATTTGGAAATTAGGTCGTTTGTTCATTCATATAAAAGACTTTGAACTAGTTGAGTGAAGTCACGAGGACTATACCTTAGATTTATAGATACGAAAAATTAAAATAATCAAATCTCATTATAATTAGATTGGGTAGCTTCAAAAGAATAATCATTAAAATTCATTCCATTTTCATTCAAATCATATAGAATTAAATTATTTTTTAATACGAAACATGAGTTATAAATACTTTACTTATTCTATAAAAACTCAAAATACCTGAATATTCAGAGTACCGTGGGCGAAGATTTTTAGATTTGCAATATGGTTTTTCCACTTTTATAAATACGAATGAATGAATAATTGGAATAACAATATACAGTATTTTAAAACCTATCAACTTTTGTAAGATTGAATAATACTTTTATGAATATTTCGTGCACTATTATAATTTCAACAATAATAATGATTACAATATATTGAACCAAAATTGTTTTTTCAAACGTTTATCATTAATTCGAATTTGTATAGCTTTCACTACATTAAATGTTTAATATAAAAAATATGTTGTTCAATAAATTTTATTTTGTATATATATCAATACTTTATTTGCAATTAAAAATAAGAAATAATTATACTAGTTAACTTAACCAAAATCGTTCGTTTATTTCATGACAAATTTTTCTATATATAATCTAACGATCTCGCTCAAATGATTTAATAATTGATTTAATATTTTAAGTAAATTTGTTTATCTATGTTTCTATTATAATTTACTATATCTAATAACCGACGAATTTTGATCAATTATGACTAAATCCTTAACATATATTTGAACGAGAATGACTACGAATGATTGTATTGAAAAAAAAAAAAAAAAAAAAACTATTACACTAAGCTTCACCCTAGGTAATGTTTTTTTTTTTTTAATAAATGGTTTTTCTATTGTTTAGTGTGAATATATGTCACTGGAAATATGAATCATAAAAATTTACAAGTGGAAAGTTTTTCCTGTACACGATAAAGTAATTTAATAGGAAAATTATCGAAAGTGATATAAAAATATCGTAAACAGATTTTTTTTTTTTATTAATTTAGTATATGAATTTATATTTCTTTGTTACTAAATAGTCATTTATGAGCTTTTCAATAAAATTAATTACTTTTAATATTTGAGATTTATCAATGACATATTCTTTGTTAAAAGTAATGCACTTTCAAAATGAATCGCATGTTTTAATTTATTAAAAACTATGTACAATAGATCGTGCAATTGAAAAATAAAATCTTTATTTTATCATTTTCTTTGAATGAAAAAGCTTATAATTTTTAAGGCGATTTTTATTTTCGTTTAAACCTAGATAATTAATAATACGATGAAAAATAATGTGAATTATTATTATTAAAAATTTCTTTTCATTGGAAAATAAGTTGGAAAATGTTCTAATTTATTAACAAATAATTTTAATTAATTATTGAAACCTTAAAAATATATTTTATTAGTTAATGTATAGTTAGTATGGAAATTATTTGGATTTAAATAGAAAGAGCGCACTGAGTCTATAAATTATTATCGTAATGAAATATAAAGCTTTGGTTAATTAAAATTCTTAAGAAAAATAATTGATTCTTTATTTACGCGGATATAGCATTTTTTTGTCATTTATATCAGAAATATGATTATAGCGAATTCTTAATCATCAAATTTATTTTTCAATAATTTTTAGATGATGTCGATATTCATCTAAAGTCGCTGCAGGTATTAAGAGAACCGTTATCGCAAGTTATATTACATTGGGATGCAACATTTGATTATAGAAAACTTATAAGATCGACGATTAATAGCCTCGATGATGTATTGATTGAGTGGCCGATTTTAAAAACAGATATAGGACCACAATTAGTAAGCTTAAAGAGAGCGCTTGAGAGAGACATGAAATTAATCACACACGCACACGCACACTCACACGCACACGCACACGCACACGCACACGCACACGCACACGCACACGCACACACACAAGCACAAGCACACGCACAAGCACACAAATCGTTAAATATAGAGCTTAATGTTTTGGGTTTTCAGATCGAATCTGAATTTGAAAAATTATTTCAATACGACGATGATTTATTTGGTAAGTGGATTTCTTTCTTTAATGCCTTATATGAAATAAAGAAGGCGTCGATCCGTGATAGTATTGGTAAGGAATATTGCAATATATTTGAGAGCTTGAGAAACGAAACTCCAGAAGTATCATCTGGAATTCAAATTCAATTACTGCCTTACTTAATTCCTCCGATTACGAAAATTAAAACCGGCAGTGGCATTATTGTAAAACCTACAATATGTGAGAGTTCCGAAGGCTTCGTAATTTATTGTAAGGTAATTGACATTAAAAGCCATTTGACATTTAATAAATTACAATCTAATCCGTTAGTGAAACTTGATTTTGTTTCTATATTCTTTTGTTGTTGTTCTTGTTGTTGTTGTTGTTGTTGTTATTTATTTATTTATTTATTTATTATTATAATACGTAGTACGAAACCAGTCGTTCTAAATATTTCTCTTGATTAGGATAAATGCGAAGATCTTTAAGCAATATTAGCTTAATTTATACAATTTGACCAATCTTCTGAGAATTAACTAATCATTTCAGACTTCCGAGTCTATTGCACAAAAAGTTGAGTTTAGAAGTGATAGATATAAAAATTGGAATGTCGCGGTGCAGCCGTGCATAGTACTTCAGGGGCCACAACCGCACGACATTAAATCAGCTTACGTGAGTTTACACCAACAACTTTGGGAATTAGACTCGCCAATTCGGGCCCTCGACTTGGCCTTCAAATTATATCAAGTTTTTAATCTACATTATCCAGCGGATTGCGAACAACTTTGGCTTGTCGTCCAGAAGATCGTATACAACATTACCACGCCTTTCGATAAAAAATTAACAAATGTGACATCCATCGCTAATGTACTTAATGTAAAATTAAAATGCAAGAAGCAGAGAAGGAATTGAACGTTGAAGACAATCTATTACAACGTGATGACTTTGTAAAATTTTTATAAAAGACTCGAGCAACAACTCCATTATTAGATTTTTCACATTCTTAAAACTATTAAGTTATAGATAACTTGGCGAATTGGGTGACAGCAACGTGAAAGCGAATTGTTACTGTAAATAATTAAAGATTTTATTCATACTCATTATTTTATGAGTATTCAATAGCTATATGCATTATATAGCCAATGGACAGCTAGAATTATTATGTCTAAATTAATATAGATGAGAATTTATATCATGATCAATGCAGTAATTATATTAGCATTGGTGACAAGAGAAAGATGCATCGGGGAAATAAGTGTATAATCGACCTGTGTGTATATAAATTAATTTCTTCACTCTTCACTACGTACATTCGTATATATAATTATTAACTGCTCTATGTATTTCATACATCTCGTCGCGCAGAATCGCATTTCTCACACGATTACAATTTCTGACAAAGTGTACAAAAATTAATCATATTTTCTATCATTTTATACTAATGATAAATAAAAATTATTTATTAGACAAAATCAATGTGTATTTTTCTTAAAAGTATCGTCTTCTTTTCATTTATCCAAATATTATAAAATAATAATAATAATAATAATCGAATAACAAATTAAAAGCATCATTTATAAAAGCTAAAATATTCAATTTCATGCTCTTAATTCATCATGTACAAGCAATGATGAACTTAAGGAATTATGTAAGAAAATCGGCTATTAATAAAAGTTGCAATTTGAATATTTTCCATGATATATATATATATATATATATATATATACATATAGGTATTTCCCTTTAAACAATTTTTTTTTTTAATAATTTAAATTAGAAATTCATACGTAATTACGATGACATTTATCATCAATGTAAAAGATCTTTAAAAAAAATCACTTTCCATTCAATCCAATTATGACGATATTTTACGTGGCTCTGCAGTTGCCATTTATTACAATATAAAATTCGAAATTTAAAAAAATAATAAGACATTTTTTCATTTTTATATCGAATCTTCTCAATTATAATTAACTTTTTTTTTTTTTTTTTTGTTAATATATTTTTAAATATTATTTATAAATATTAAGATAGATAAATGTATTAAGAAATAGATGTGGAAGGTCAATTTTATAGGGGGAAACGTTTTATATCGATAATCAAACTTTTGTTACATTTATTATATTGAATATTGATCTTTTATTCAATTTTGAGCTCAATGCAATATAATTGTCCACGACGCGTGTAATTAAACTTTAAAACTATGAAATGAAATCAACATAGTTGATTATCCAACATCGGAATACCTAAGTAGTAGTAGTAAAAGCTTTTACCGCTACCATAACCTACATTTAATTCAACTACAAATTATGCATACCAATTTAAAAAATAATTTCCTGCATTGCATCGACAATGTTCTAGTTCAGAGCCAGCAAACCATTATCGAAGGTTTTTTGGGTTAAATTTTGTATTCCCAAAGCCACAGCCAAGGCTGTCATTTGGATAATTCTGTACGCGTAAGGCCATCAGTGTCAACGGCCCAGTATATGCATATTTCTGTAAAAAAAAAAGACAACATACTTTGTCGCTCCTCGCTCAACTAAGAACAGCAATTACAATTCAAGTGATGCATACGCCGCGACGCTCAATGAAAATCTAAAACCAAACCATTTACCCCCCCCCCCCACCCGCCCCCCCCCCCACTCCCTCCCCCCTTCTTCTTCTTCTTCTTCTTCTTCTTCTTCTTCTTCTTCTTCTTCTTCTTCTTCTTCTTCTTCTTCTTCTTCTTCTTCTTCTTCTTCTTCTTCTTCTTCTTCTTCTTCTTCTTCTTTTTCTTCTTCGTAACTGCAAAAAATGAAAAACAAACAAAACAAATATCAACCCCCCCCCCCCTAAAAAAAAAACACGAAAAACCAACAACAGGGCGCCTCGATCCTGGGAGCCGCGGTGTCGGGAGCTACGCGTGGCCAGGGTTTCGGTAGTAAGGACCGGTTCTTCACCCTCCTGGTAATCGACGACCAGAACACCGACTGGAGCAAGTACTTCCGCTGCCGGAGGATCCATGGTGACTATGAGGTGCGCGTGGAGCAGGCCGAGTTCCGCCAGCTGTCACTGACGGCAAACGAGGCCGGCACCATCGTTTCTATGGCCGTATATCGCAACGGGACCAAGGTTATCAGGTGGGTGATTTGTCGATCGTTAAGTCGTTAAGTAGAGGGCAAGTGGAGATGTCTCGAGGCGATCGCCGCGTCAAAGTCCTCCCTCGTAATTAGAGCGTGTGGCAATGGCGGTTTTTTTTTCTTATTTTGAAGTCCTTGCCGTGAAAGTTTGTGAATTTTCAATTCGTTTAATTGCTGCGATATTGTATTGTGTTGTGGGCGTGATGGGGAGGGGACGGTGGGAGGTAGTTTGAGAGGTAATTTAGCACGCTCTCGAGTTACGGGGCAAGCATTACCAACTTACTCGCGATTAACAAATGTTCGATGGGAAAGACAGCTGAAAATGATGTGAAAATGATAATACGACGTTGATATGCAGCTCTTACTTTTGCATATAATGAGTACACGTCGGGAGCATACTTTTGCATTTAAAGTCGACATTGCTTAATAGATACCTTTCCACGGATTTTGCATTAAAACGAAAAAACGAGACGCATCGCCGGTAGCGCTTAGAATTAATTACAAAACGTGTCACGTAGAAGAGGTAATTTTTATGCGAAAGTTCCACTCGATTCAAGAGTCTTATCAAATATTTATCTTTAATGGATATTCATATTAGATAGATTCATATAGACACGATACAATAATATCGATCTTAAATAAATTGGTATTAACTAATGGATTTATTTGTTTTATCAATGTAAAAAGAAGGATAATAAATATGGATGAAAGTTTTTCGAAAGAATAAATTGATAGTAAATTTTCAGTCTCATCGACGCTATATTGTATTTAATACACGCACAGAAATAGAGGGAGGGAGGGAGAGAGAGAGAGAGAGAGAGAGAGAGAGAGAGAGAGAGAGAACGAGTGAGTGAGAGAGAGAGAGAGAATAAATTTTAATTAACATTAACAGACTTGAGAAGATTATTAAGCTCTTTTAAAGTCTATAATGTTAAAAGTAATAATCATAGTGATGCACAATTGATTTGAATTATAAATGGATATGGAAATTAATCAATTAATAGTCGTTGATTATATTTGATTTACGCGAATATTAAGTTCCTTTATTAAAATTCTCTGAACAATGTGGTTGATTATTATGTTGATATTTTGCTTGTTTAGCTTTCAATGCTCAAAATACTCATTTATGTTCAGTAATCTAGAAGCACAAAAGTGAATATTGCGATGAGCGTGTGTTATAAATTATCCTCGCGTTAAAATTTATTTTATCTTGCACTAAAAATGTATTTCATATTTAATCTTAATTTTTTTGATAATCTTGGTAAGTAGAACAGCAAGAATTTAACATGCAAGCATTTCAATGAAAATAATAATAATAGCCGATAATAATTCATCCATTTTTATAAGCAAAATTAGACTTATTATTCCCAACGCATTTAAATTGGCTCTCTAAATTTCACTTTATTTGGTCACGTCGTTTTGAAAGTTAAGAAAGCCTTTATTTTTTATTATGGGACCGTAAACTTTTTATTTCCACGGTAAACCGAATGTTTTCAGAAACAAGAACATTTAATTTACGAACTTATTCAAATTTACGGTATATTACCGTCGAAATTGAAATAATGTTTTCTATGCCAAAAAAAATAATAAAAAATAATAAACATAAAAAAAAAAAAACAAAAACAAAAACAAAAAAACAAAAAAACAAAAAAACTAATAAAAAAAAGCCCATCGGCTATTCAAGGGGTAACGTACAAAAATTAATCGAATCTCGAACGAAGAAAATTTATTTTCCCCTACCGACAAGGCATTATTACCTCCATACGTTCCACATATTAGTCCTGAAATTGGAAATGGAAAGAAAGCACGGAGTGGCCGGGAACTCGAGCGCCTTCGCGTCAAGGAAATTGAAATTGAAAAGATCGACAATTATGCGAGCGGCGACGCCTTCGACGCGGAACGAATTGGCCGCGCACTCGCACCGCTGACGTAAAGAGGCGCAGCTGCCGAGCTGACAGCGAGCCCCAGCACTCGTCCTTGACCCTTTTGCATATTGGCCCGCAGGTCCTTCAAGCCGGACTTCGTGCTCATCCGGCAGAATTTGCGGGACGCGAACGAGGACTACAAGAATCTGCTCCTCGGCTTCATGTACGGCGGCATACCCAGCGTCAACAGTCTCCAGGCGATTTACAACTTCCAGGTAAATATATATAACTCGACGCGGTGCTCGTCGTACCGGCTGTTTCACTTCGAGCCTGCTTATTATCAGCTATCTCGCTCATACCAACTATGCCTCCTTTCTTCTTTCTTCTTTATTTTTCACGCGCCTCACTCTTTGCCCCGTCCCGCTCAAGGACAAGCCCTGGGTTTTCGCTCATCTCCTCGATATGCAGCGTCGCCTCGGCAAAAATGGTTTCCAGATGATCGAGCAGACCTACTATCCCGACCATCGCGAGATGGTGAGTGCCACATACATTTACGCATGCCATCCAATGGATTTTTAGGGCGGACAGTCGCGAGGATTTGATGTTCGAGTCGCGAAGCATGACGAAAGGAACACGTACCGCGTAGAATTAATCATATAATAATATCACCCTTCAAAGCTTCCCTGATAATTTCGAAAAATCGTCTAGAATTTATGCCCTCGCGGGAGTGGGAGGGAGGAGAGGGAGGAGAGGAGGGTATATTAAAACGGTAAATTAATAAGTTCCAAGATTTTCCATAATTATTTATCTTCGTTGTTGATTAACCAGTGCTTTCATTCATTTGAAAATACACGAAAATTCATAAAGATCGGAATATTCTAGACTTTAAAAGGACAATAAAAGGACAAAATAGAACAAGAATGTTAGAAAGCATATGAGATAAAAAGAAAATTAACATTGTCTCTCGTGTCTTTTTTCCCTCCCTCAGTTTCATGCTTTAAAATAACCTCGTATATACATTCGTATACATTTTCATAGACGTAAAATGCAATTAGTAAAGTTCGATTCTTTTAAATTATGTCAATTTAAAAAAAAAGATACTTTCCTATTGCTTACTTTGACGTTCTTATGTTAAAATATTTGTTAAAAAAAAACATTTACAATACGTATATATCGATTTGAAGGGATAATTAAATATTGGAAGGGCCAAAAAATTCTTAGATTCAATTATCTTTTTTTTCGTTTTGTTTTGTTTTGTTTTGTTTTGTCTTTTGTCAATAACATCTTTCGGAACATAAAATACTTAAAAAAAACTTCTTTGTAATAGTATTGTTGAGTCTCTTAAAAATTTCCTATTTATTTCCTATTATACTTTTGTACTTGATTTGTTTTTGTCTTGATTTTGTAGTGTTAATTTAATAATAATCAGCATGGAAAATTGTCCACTACTCAGTGGAAAGGAAATTGCATATTATTTTATAGTGGTGTTTACGAAATTTTGGGTATTTACTTGGGTACACGAAAGATAATTAATAATCTAATAATGTCATCATAAGTTTATAAGACGCTATTGCTACAATGCCATTAACATAAATAATTAATAAATGATGTAGAGCAAGAAATAATTCAAAGAATTATGTTTTTTTAGTGTTTTGAGGTAATGATATATCATCATTGTTTATATTGTCGATGAAAGAAGCTTCGTTGGAAGTAAACAAATTCAAGGTGAAATAAAAGTTTTTGTTTGCACTTACCAGTTGAATTATTGTATTTTTTGTTGTAAAAGCTGAAAGTTATTGAATTTTTTCAGCTATTTCATTTGCCAATTAATGTCACTGTAAATTCACAATCAGCTTTAACTCAAGCAATTATGAATTGACAAAATTCGTGTTTATATATGTGATTTCGGATATATAGAAATGAAAATGTTGTGCTAAGTAATCGCATAGTATTAAATTCGTCGACAAGTGAGCATTTTTGTTGAGCGTTAGCACTTAAGCAATTAAAATCTTGACAGCCTTGTCCCTTGTACTTGGACGAGAAGATTTCGGCAGTGGTGCGCTGCTAATGAATTTCGACGAAATTGCATTTTGTGTTTAAGCTTGTGTCGACGAATCCTCCATCTCTCGCTCAAAATTTATTATTAATTAGTATACTAACCTTTTGAAAGTGCTGAATTCCACAGGAACTTGTTACTCAATATTTGACAACATTACGCAATTGTGTACAACTCATCCATTATATTAAACATGTGATTTTAGCAAGATTAATTAATAATAAAATGATAAAAATACGAATATTTCGAAATTTTTCTTTTACTATGTACAATAATTTAACGGACTGTTGACATTACACGTGATATGACTTATTCTCGTGGAAGACTTTTTTTTTCTAATAAAATAAATAAACAGAAAAAAATTGCCTAATTCAATTTGTAGAGAGACGTTTATAGAATAAATTCTTCGGAAAAAAAAAAAAAATGTCATTATATTATATTAATGCTAATCTTATAAACGTCGACAGCATTAATAAGATTCAAGATTAAAATAACGACATTAAAAACTTTACTACAATGTATGAAAAGTAATTCAAACATTTATTTGAATTCGAATTTTAATGTGCTTTTTACAAAACTAAATAATATATTTCGTCTTATATCGTGACATGCTGATGTTGATGTATAATATTTGCGTGTACTCTCATTAATTTAGCATATATCTGTATTAAATAGATCTTATTTAACAAGGAGATATTATTATAGTTATTACATGGAACAAAATTTACTTTATAAATAATCAGTTGTATCGGAACTTATATCGATTCATTTACGGAAGGTTCGAGTCGTTCTAAATAATCTTAACATTCATTCAAACTATATTTGTTTATTTCATTTCGCTATTCTAAACTAAGAAATATGAATTTCATTTATTTACAATTTAAAATAATTTAAATGGTAAATACTCCTTATGCACTAGGATATGCCAGTTAGAAGTTTTAAAGAATGTTTTAATAATTTGAACGAATGCACGTTATTCTCGAGAAAATAACATTTCTTTTACATTTATATTCTATTTAAATTATTATAATTCCGAATATATTGACGTACGTGATTTCAGAAAATACATAGGTAATTGATTTAACGGGCGCAATTTTGATGCACATTAAGCATTAAATGATAAATAGTAATAAATATATTAAGACATTTACATTAATCTATAAACTACAGTCTTAACCTTGTAAAATACGCATCTGGATACGTATTTTTCTCGTAAATGGATTTTCAGTGATTGGGAAAGAGGCTGCTATTACTTTACGAGGCTTTTCATTTCTTTTGTTTTTTCCTATTTTGCAAAATCCTGGCACACGATGACCACATCTCACTCGTTCCAATAAATTTTTACAAAAACGAAACTATATTCGAACCAAGTTATACACTAGTATTTTTATAATTTACTCTATGCGTCTCTGACTAATGCTCGGATTGAATTTATACGAGACGCGTTATTATGATTTTGTCATCAAATGTCCTACCTGCATCTTTCGATCCTGCAAATATTCCAAAATCGTTACCTCACAATTACGCACGCACTTATCGCTATTTCTTCGTCAATAAACATTCGCACAGAGAGCTGTGGATGGGGGCGGCGGCGCGGCGGAGGGGGGGGGGGGGCGGGTAGAAGCCAGGCAAGTCCACTATATATTCATTAATTATTATTCGTTTCGTTTTTCATTTTTACCGCTAATAAAATCGTACGTATTACAATTTATAAAGTTTATCATGTCTGGCCAATAAAATGCCTTATTCAATATACAATTAAGTATTATTAATACTATAAGAGTCGATCAAATAAATGGAAACTATCTATCAAAAATCTTGAAATAAAAAATTATACGGAATAGCTCTCAAGGTCCTTAGATTTAATATTGGGTGCCTTTTTAATTCGATAATCTCATTAATTTGAAAACGAATACTATGAATTTCACACAATAATAATATTAATAATATTAATAATAATAATAATAATAATAATAATAATAATGATAATGATAATAATAATAATAATATTAATAATATGCATTTATCAGCTCCATTACGTAGCTGTCATATTACAAAAGTATAATCGATTGCACAAATTGAATTTTTTTCATTCCCATAAAAAGCAAGTGAATCGGGGATGTTCGCTAACTGCGTCGCACATGTCAATTCTAATTTCTAAATAAGCAGACGTCTGGCGCAATTAATCTCGTCTTCTTATAAATCCAATAATTTTCGATACCTCCTACCCTCGGCCCCGTGATCCGAATATCACCGCGAAACTCACCCCCAGCACTTACACATCTCTATCAGTGTCCTCTATGCGTAAATGTAACGCTAACACGCGAAGACGTGGATGTTCACGGCGATTCGCGCGGCCTCTGATGTACCAGTCGCTCCTGGTGATGCTCCCTGATGCACTGGTCGTACGGCCTTGATGGCATCCAGAAGCATCTGCCCTGATTCGAGACGCAAATTCCGTGCTTTTCTTGGCAGTCCATCGGTCCGGGGTTGCCCTCCCAGGGGCAAAGCTTGCCGTTGGCTCGGTGCAGGGCCTCGCCCTTTCGCTCGAACGGCGTGTAGCTTACCTGGAAGCAAGTGCTTTTATCTCTATGTCCGTGCTTTTCTTGGCAGTCCATCGGTCCGGGGTTGCCCTCCCAGGGGCAAAGCTTGCCGTTGGCTCGGTGCAGGGCCTCGCCCTTTCGCTCGAACGTCGGGTAGCTTACCTGGAAGTAAGTGCTTTTATCTCTATGTCATGGAAGAGAGAAGGCCTGATTCGAGATTTTTTGCGTCTCTTTTTTCGTTTCTTGCAACGGTAGGGGTTTGGTGGCGGGGGAGGGGGGGTGTTAGGCTGTTCTTTGGCTGGCCGCCGACGGCGTGCGCCACTTTAATTAACCAAGTGCCTTTTCCTGTAAGATACCACCGATCATTTAATGCTTTTTAATTGCTCTATCCTCCTTTCTCCTCCTCCCCCAATTTCTCACTCCCTCATTCATTGTATCACTCTGTCTTTCTCGCTCGCTCTCTCGAACAAGAAATTTCATGATAACGAAGCCAACTTTTTCAAGAAAAGGATCGACAATTTATATTTGTATTTCAAGTTTGCAAGTGGGGTCGCTTATATAATGAAAAAAGGACTTTTATTCTGGTCTCAGCTTTCGAACGACAAAAGTAATTATAATCGAGAAGAGAGAGAGAGAGAGAGAGAGAGAGAGAGAGAGAGAGAGAGAGAGAGAGAGAGAGGGGGGGAACAAAATTCGTGATAAAAACCATAGAATTTTAAAATTGCATTAGGAATGTACTAGATAAATTTTCTAGCACAAATGCTTAATACCATTCGATGTATTTATTTATGTTATTATATTGAAATTATTATAACCGTAGCTGTATTATAAAATTTTTTTATGCACAAGTAAATTCATAATGGAATGTCTCGATGCAGAAAGATTTAGCATTAGATAGGCAGTTGCTCTAGGTAAATCTCAATCGCTAACGATTG